TGGTAACGGTGAGGTGCAGGGGACCGCGCTCCCTAAAATGAAATTTGTTTTGTTTTGGTAGGATGACAGCTAGCCTCAGACGAAAAAACGTCATCCCTTGATTCCACTCGTGATCTTTGAGTCGTGCAAGAAAAAGCCTTCCACGATGGTGAGTTACCTTAGTTTGCCCTTCTGACTAAACATCAACCTCGTTCCCAGGCCGGGCCTTTCCAGGGAAAAGGCCCTGGGAACGAGGTTGACTAGACATCAAAGCTTTTATTTTGTTCTCGATGACATTGATAAAGAAAAGCTGTCTTTTTGGTTCCCTTTTGTTAAAGCCACCATGCACGTGCATGGTGGCTGTCTTGGGCTGTTAATTTAACCGTCAGTTACGATTGTTTACGACATTCAACAACAACAACAACAACAACAACTTTTACATTCTCGGGTAAACTTTACATTCTTTTATTTCTTTGTCAGAAACGTTAGCTTGAATGCTAGATTGTTTCTGCTTTGTTTCATATCTTCTTATCTTATTCTTTTAATGCAAGAAGTTAATCATCAACTTGGACGTTGGCTCCTCACGAAGAGGTAGCTTTCAGACTACCAGGACCAGGACCTTGTAAATATTTTCGTGATGCCTAAAAGTTTAGATTTTCAGAGAGAAGAAAAAACGAAAAATTAAAGATATTTAGATTTACATTTTATTTTATCATCCGGTCGTATTTCCCGCTTTTAAAAGCTGTTTTCAGATACTGATACATTAACCGTGTTGAACTGTATAATAGTTTAATTCATTAATTTGATGTTTTTTTGTTTTGTTTTTTTTGATAAAGGGACACGATAACTCGGCCATGTTGTCATTAGTTTGTTCCAAAAGCGTTTTGCGAAAAAATCATATTCCCTTTGGGCAGTAATGTTTTCTCTACTTCAATATTACTCTTCTGAAACGATGGTATTAAATTGTTAATGAAATCTGTTTTTGTATAATGATTCAGAGAGTTATTTAAGTATTCACGTAATTCCAGTTGAAAACTGATGTTTCACGAAGATGAAGATTTTCAATGGCTAAAGAAAATTCCTATATAGGAGTTGGACTTTCACCTACAATTTTTGCGTCTTCAACAGCGCGCATTCCGTAAGTTTAGATTGAATGTTTATGGCTTAGAATTTTTTCAAATTACTCTAGAATGTGATTTAGGACATGATAATACATGTAAATACTTCTGATTTGGCATTTAAGAGTTAATTTCTCGTCAGCATGTAGTGAGACATTTATTACCGAACGGTTGTGTGCAGCGAAAGAAAAGGTTACTTCCGAGCATGCAGCTTTATTGTTTTTTGTGATTTTCTTCGTAATTCGTAAACTAAAACAAGAGTAATCACAGAATCAATGTGAGTACAGGTAAGATAATAAACCAATCAGATCACGATATAATAATATAAATAGTCGCTTGGCAAACGGCGACAACAACGTCAAGTGACAACCTGATTGTCTCCTGTAGGACCAGTTGTTCTTAAGGTTTTGTATTTTTTAACCTTGGATTTTGTGCATGTGAATCAGATATAGAGTTGAGCAAAATTTTTATAGTATATAAAATGAAGTAATAGGTTCGTGTAAACAGTAGTGTTATTTGAATTGCTTGAATCACGAGTAATTGCTTCAAATACAAATTTAAACAGCTTGGAAAAAGAAACCTGTAAGGAAGCACGCCCTGAAAGCGGTACTTCTATTTAAGCAATAAACCGTTCACTCTAGGGGTTAACGGGCGCAGTAAACCCACTTGCGGGATCTTAGGAGAACTTGTAAATCACGCGCACAACAATTTGTGATTTACAAGCTTTTCGAGTGTTCTCCCAACATTCCGCGCGTGGGTTTATTGCGCCTGTAAACCCCTTGATAATGCAGTCTACTCCAGAACCCGCCGAATATGTAACACATAACTAGGCACAAATTATGTCCAGCATCTCGTGTTTATAGTTAGTCGGAGTCGACTTAAAACGCGCGTAAGTCAAGCAACCAGTTAGAGCGCGGTGCCCAAGATCTGAAGACGGAAACATTACCAATAGCCCAATACCTGAACTCTGCCCTTCCCGCCCTGTATAGGCGGGTCCCTTCAGTTAATCCCCTATACAGAGCGCGCGGGGAATGGAGAATTCAAGTACTAGACTAGATTATAGTAGACTGCGAGCAGTCTCTCTTTTCCTTGAAAATCTGCGGGGAAGAACGCAAAACAAGTAAGCGTGCGAGCGTGACTGTGAGCGTGACGTGCGAGCGGCGATGCCGCGAGCTACTAGCGGTTCGGGGCATCGCCGCTCGCCGTTCACACGTCACGCTCACAGTCACGCTCGCACGGTTACTTGTTTTGCGTTCTTCCCCACGGATTTTCGAGGAAAAGAGAGTCTGCTTGCAGTCTAAGATAACTGCAACAGCTATGACTCGGAGACGTCACTTTTTCGTTTGAATGAAGGGAAATAGTATAAGTCTACACGAAGGCGAAGTTTTGGCAGACATTCAGCGTGTTCTGTTGGACACAGCGAATCTGATCTGTTCTGTTTAACAAAGCGAATGTACAGCTGTAAATGTTCCAGATTTTCAATTCGTTGCGGTTAAGGACGCTCGAACTTATTTTTTGTGCACATACTTGCTGTGCATGCAGTTCATAAACAGCGCCATGCATCGAGCCTCCTTGGGGGGGGGGGGACCTCTCTTATATGGGCTATATAGATATGTGCGGCCGCAAAGGGTATGGTTTTTCAGCCATCTTCGGCTTAGTAATAAACAGGGTATCGATTTTGGCCATTTTGGTCTTAAATAGGGTATGGTTTTTGTACTCAAGTCTTGCCCTTCAAAAATTATGTCTAGGGCAACTTTGTCAGCCGCAATGGTCATAAAACCCCACACTTGGCTACGATACATCGATGATAATTTTTATGATCTGGACCGAAGGTCCAGGCAACCTAAAAATTTTCATCGATTATCTTAACAACATTCACTCCACGATTAAATTCACCAGTTCACACTCTTCTA